TTGGCTATTGTATTAATGCAGCCATGCTCCCAAATGGTGACTTCAGCTCACTGGATGCAGTCACTAGTCAGCCAACAATTTTCTGCTTTTTTACTTGAAGTTTGTCAAGTTGGGTGGGGCTGGCAGGCCAACCTATGGCTTGAATTTTGGCCGATTTAGCAGAAATTGGCTGAAATTCTAGCTTTGTATGGCCATCTCAAGTCACTATCACCCATGGCTGGCTAGGATCAGCTCTGCAGGAAATGGCCCCAGGATATAAATGTACACTTTTTCTATAACTAACTGAAAGATTTAGGAGTGAAAAATATAGTCCTTTGCTAAATGTAACAGCTGTTCTGACACATTGAGGGCTCATTTACACTATAGCGTTAACATGCGCTAAACAAATGGTGGCATGCACTTAGCGCAAAACTCCCACCAAGTGCCGATTCCAACATGACTGTATCACAGTGCAAGGTACAAAACGTGCAACCATTCCAAAGTGCAAGAGTCCAACAAGCGCCGAACTCCACACACCGAATCAATTCACTATATATACATACATATATATATATATATATATATTTTATATATATACATACATATATATATATATATATATTCTACTGATCTCTATGATTAAGCCTAATAGGTGAAGAAAGTGAGAGGCGGAGGATTGCTGTGGGGGAATTGAATCAGTGTGTATTTAATTGCTCCGCTATCAAATTAAAAAAAAAGATTTTATTCTGGTGGAACCCCGATGAGTTGCGGCACTTGTTGGACACACTATAGTGTGAAGCAGGCCAATCAATTATCTGCACATGATTGGGCTTTTAATGTGAACAGGAATTTGCTTTTCTACATGATTGGCTAATTGAAGTTATTGTTCGCTGAATTGTGTGCAGATTCACAACTTATTTATGCCTAGTTCACACAGGCTTCCGCTTGTAGTGTGAACAGTGAGCTTTTAGCAAGCTTTATTGAATCTTTTAAAGTACCCTTCAGCTCCAGTTTGGGAATGTTAAACAGCTCTTAATGGAAGAAGCTTTAAAGAAGCCACTAACAGACTGCAGCACAACCTGAATCTTGTTGAAAGTCTGCTGAAGCCTTCTAGAAGCTTGTTTAAAGTTACTCCCATTAAGATCTGTTTAACGCTCCCTAAATGGAGCTGGGGGATGCTTTGAAAGCTTCAACAAAGCTGCCGGAAGCTTGCTGAAAACGTCACAAACGGTTTGCAAACGTTTGCCCAAAACATTGTGCCCTTAATGCTCCTATAGAAACTGAAGCCTGTGTAAAGTAGGCCTTAGTAAACCAGCCATATTGTAATGAAGGACTTACTGCTGTCATGACTGAATACTGGCCTGCCATATGTAGCCTGTGTGAACTAGGCCTTAGTACACCAGCTATATTGTAATGAAGGACCTACTGCCCTCATGACTGAATACTGGCCTGCCATACGTAGCCTGTGTGAACTAGGCCTTAGTACACCAGCTATATTGTAATGAAGGACCTACTGCTGTCATGACTGAACATTGGCCTGCCATACGTAGCCTGTGTGAACTAGGCCTTAGTACACCAGCTATATTGTAATGAAGGACCTACTGCTGTCATGACTGAACATTGGCCTGCCATACATAGCCTGTGTAAAGTAGGCATTAGTAAACCACACATATTGTAATGAAGGACCTACTGCTGTCGTGACTGAACACGTGCCTGCCATACATGAACATATATACTTGCTTGTGTAACAGGAAGATACAAACAGGAAGCTCTGCTATGGCAGTGTGCTAATATGATAGTTTCTAATACATTGTAAGCCAATACAAAAACATTTGTATTCCATTAAATAAACAGTCACGGAATTACCTACAGAGGTGCCCTAATATATGAAAGAGTGAAAGGATAACACTGGACTCTAATATCCAATAATAGATTAAAACAAAACTGATATTATATGCAGTATGTGTGTTGAACATTGTTTGCCTTTCAGCATAAGGAACTGCAATACCAATACAACACAGTAAAAAAAAAGTAAACAGTGCAATGGTTCACAATCAGCACATTAGGACTGTGCGAGGCAACACACACCAGCAGCCATGTGTTGTAGCTTGGTGGAAATAGGTTTTAATGATTTAGTAAATCAATTCAGAGCCAGATGAAATGGTGTTTTTTTCTAGAGCTGGCTGTAATAAAATATCAAGTTATTTTGTTTCCACAATTTATGTAAATAAGAAACATTTACTTACTTACCAATTTCTAACATTACATAGCACACTACAACCACAATGTTAGCCGGTTGCATGTTTCAAATGGAACTCTGAGATAAGCAAATATCTAAATATAAAAAATAGCCATGTGTATCATTAATGGAATGTTGGTGAGCTTTATGTATTTCTTCCAGATCTGTGCAGTAATCCAGGGTGAAACCTCCTCTGTTCAGGAGCTTCCTGTAATGAAGACCAGTCGCTGCTGCTCTCTCTCCTTGTGTAGAGTGACTGGTCTTGTATCCGCCCCTCCTGTTTTTGCAAGCAGGCTGTAGTGTGTGGGGGCTACATGGCCCCTCCCACAGCCCTGCTGCACAGCCTATGTAAAGCACAGTGATGATATCACTGCTACTGTAAAAGGTAGAAACCGGGTTGGCGAAAGCACTTGGTGCACACAAAGTGGATTTACATCCTTTGTGGGTAGAGAGAAATCATTTTAAATGAAATGAATGTGCTGTTCGCCCATCAGCAAACACCTATAAAAAGCTGCACTTTCAAAGAGCTAGTGCAGCAGAGCGGTGTGGGGGCGGAGACAGCCAGCGCTGTCACAGGAGGCTGGGCTCTCCTCTCGCAGCCTGCTATGTCAGACAGGAGAGCGGGTACAAGTGTAGTTTATATAATGGGGGGGGCGAAAAAAAAATTTCTGCCCCGGGCGCCCAGAACTCTGGTTACGCCACTGATCCCATCTGCTCATTGTCAATGACTTTCCTGAAACAATCATTCGAGCATGAGATCTATGAAATCCCTTAGTGCTCCTGTATAGTTCTTGTGCTGTATAAACCGAGACCAAATGAAGGTTCTCCTAAATGTAATTTGTGGGCTATAAACATGAAGTGACAACTACCACCTTCTGAATCACTCGCCCTTTCCTTTTAGATTGTAAGCTCTCACGAGCAGGACCACCCTAACCATCTTGTCCTGTAACGTTAATGTTTTCCTTTATATAGTAAAGTGCTGCGCAATCAGTTGGTGCTATATAAATCCTGTATAATAGTAAGAGTATACATTTTAAAGTGGAAGAATGTTGAAAATTAACCCTTGCAGTGGGGCTATCCCCACGCTGCAAGGGTACCTGCTCGTTTTAATCTAGAGACTCGAATAAAAAAATATATATATACACTCACCTGATCCACGGTCGCACCTGGCTTGTAGACCGTTCCTCACAGTTTCCTCTATCCAGGGCTCCGGAGGTCTAATGCAGGTTCATTGACTTGCATTAGATGTGAGGATGCTGAGGGGCATTCTATAGCTGAGAGGGGGAGAAGTGAGCACTCACCGCTGCAGGACGGAGGATCAGGTCAGTACATCTTCTTTATCCCAGCCGCTAGACCAAAACAAGCAGTTAACCCCTTCCAACTGCAGGAGTTAATGTTTAAAATAACTGCAGTTCGTCATTAACTATACTGGATCTGTCTAATGGGCGTACACGGTAAACGGTGTGTGTATACAGTATAAATATAAAGTGCTCACAGTACTAGTTCTGTACGCTTGGATCCCAAGGGAGGACTTTCCTGGACAGCCATGTATGTTATCCTCTGTACCAAGGACATCAAACAAATCCAACGACAGCTCTGCTTAGTGAATAGGAAAAGCAGCAGGCAGAAGTACACAGAGCTTCTTCCGCTTTGAGGCCAGTGCAGGAGGTGAAGAAAACTCCTCCCTTTCATGTGTGTTGGTAAATAAGGCAGTCACATGGCCAGCTACCATGTATCAACCTTCACCATACATCCTGCCTTGACAGATCAGCCCTGCCTGTGCATTATCTGACAAGAATCTACAAGGCAGCGATAACTAGCATACTTGTTCACCATTAAACCAAGGCTGGGCTTACCCCCACCTTTTTGAGATCCCCCCCCTCCAAAAAAAAAAAAACCATCAACACATATCATGTAATCAGATTGTCTCATCAAATACATTGAGGGGAATGTAGCAAAACTGGATCAGCTGTGTCTACCACAACCAATCAGCTTCTGTCTTTCATTTTCAAAGCTTAACTGAACAAACTGAAAGCTACAAGCTGATTGGTCGCCAAGGGCAATTGCTCCAGTTGATCTTTTATCGCTCTGTACGAACAGGCCAATGTACACAAGTAACTTTTCTCTGGACGATCCTGAAGCTCGGACACCATGAAATCACATAGCAGCCATCGTCTGCAGTCATCCCCATCCTCCAGCTCCAACTCACGTGTGTAGCAGTGTTTATGTTATGTTGCTTGCACCCCAGGACTGCAGTCCACAGAGCTCAGATGTGCACCGGGCTACCTGTCATAGAGCTAAAACAACAAGGACAGGAGAAAATCGTCCAATCATGCACAGTGGATCAGGAAGAAAGCCAACAAACACCAACACTGCGCCAGCACTAGCACAACGCCACTGTGTACAGATCTAGCAGCGATCGGCAAGGCAGACTCCACCAGCAGTGCTGACAGGCAGCTGACAGGATCGGGGGGTGCTATGGACACACCAGTATACACATACACACCATACTGGCGGTGGTCACGTAGGAAGAAAAGCTCCTAGCAGCTGACGCACAACCTTTGCATCAGGTTAACAGTTTTATCCGCAGAGGCCACAGGACCTGAATGAGTCATTCATAAGATCCCTTTGCCTGTGCTGCCGGTCATCATGCAATTCTCACTCCTACACTATGATCTGACAGCCTACAGTCCAGGTCCAGGACCATGATCATATCTAAATGCATACAAACACGCATACAGTCTCAGAGCCTCCAGCAGCACAAAAAGCTTCTGCCACTTACTGAGCCCAGCCAGACGTTATAAAGTGTCCTGGGTGCAAATGGTCATGCAGCTAAAGTCCCTTTCCAGCCAGATCTGCATTTGAGCTCTATGCAGTTTAATACAAGAACAACCGAACCAGCTCTCTAATAAGTGACACCTTGATCCACCTATACGTAGGAGCTAGCGCCTAGCAACATTGCAGCCATTGGCTGGAGCTAGCCACGGCCCATTTTCTTAACGTTGGGACCTGAAATGAAACATCCCCGGCATTCCTGCGGATGTGCACAGTCCTAGCCTGCGCCTACTGGCCGCTAGGTGGCGCTGTGCTTGCACACTGCTGTCTCACATGTTTGTGAGGGCTAATGCATATAGGGGGGAACAACTGGAGCAGACAAATGCCGGATAAGTTGCCCATGTCAACCAATCAACTTCTATCTTTCGCTTCCAAAGCTTAACCGAGCACACTGAAAAGATACGCTGATTGATTGCCATAGGTCTCTGCTTGAATGAATGAATCATTCATCTTTCTGGGGCCAGTCATTCTGTGCATGCAGGGCCGACATGTAAACATTTGGGGGTAGAACCAGCATGGTTTAGAGTGTTGAGGTTCCCTATCAGATCCAAAGTGGGAGATACCATTTCTGCAGGTGTATAATTTGATTGGTTAATCATTGTACAGTGGCAGAAACAGCTTCTCCCTCTGGTCAAAAGTGTCCACCTGATGAGGAACTGATTGCCAGGGGAGGGATGGGAGGAGCCTTTGACAGCAATTAGGAGGAGCTGTTTCAAATTATACACAGACATGAATAGCTTCTCCCACCAGCTGTCAGAGCAGATCTGATGGGGAACTGATTACCACAGGAGGGATGAGAGGAGTTTTTCTCTGTGTATAATTTGATTGGGAGGGGAGGAGCAAGAGAGCGAAGCCACCATGGCTGGGTATAACAGTTCCCCATTAGGTCTTCTCTGAAGGCCAGCTGGAGGAGCTGTTTAAAATTATGCATAGGCAAAAATGGCTCCTCCCACCAGCTGTCGGATTGGACCTGATGGGAAACTGGTTGCGTAAGATTGGCATGTGTGTATACTACTGAAGCATTAGCTCTGCCCAGATTGTTGCTAGGATCCAGGCAGCTTGAGCTTCCTAGCAACCGATTGGGCTTAATGCGTGTACGCATGTAAACATTACAAAACAAGGTACCGACAACATTACATGTAGGATCTTGCTGCATTGAGGGGTAGTATTTGATCACATCTGCTTGCATGAACCCTTAGATTGTAGCATTTTTGTTAAAACCTTTATCTATCAGTACTGCCTATACCTCAGAAGAAGAACGTAGGCCCCAAAAGCTTGCCTGAACATTTAAATCTGAATTCAAGACAAAAAAACCCTTGTAGTGCAGTCTACATGGTACTAACTCTGTACAGGTTCCAAGTGTTAGAAAACCCTACCTCTCCCCCTAGCAAGACCAGGGGCAGACTAAGCTTCCTCTCATTATCATACAATGCTTCTAGATTTTTAACCCTTTGGTAGGAGAGACAGTGTGCAGATCTTGATGACTGATGATGACATCTGCCAGCAAAGTATAGACATGGTTAATTGGGTTAAACATTAACCACGCCACCCCCTTGCATTTCAGAGGAAAATTCAGTTTAGAGAAAAATAACTTTTTTTCTCAGAAAGAGCAAGCAATATGTAAGCAGCATTTTTTTAAAATGTAACCTTTGTTATGTGAATAAGAAGATCTAGATATAACTAGACTGAACTTTACAAGTCTGCATGAATACATATAACATTATAATGTTATATGTATTCATATAACATTATAATGTAACTGTATTAAAGTACCCTGCCTTGGGGCCTGTATTGTTGGGCTTTTGTTTGCTTCAAACATGTTTTGCATTCCTATACAAATCTATAGGAAAGCTGAGCCAGCTTGAAGCAGATCAAATGCAGGTTAGAAGGAGGTCAAGTGCAGGTCATATCAGGGCTGAAACTCTGACCTCCCAAAGATGGTACAGAGGGACACCTTTCAACACAAACTATTAGGTCAAAAGTCGTGCCCCTTTCATACCCTGGATCTTGCAGACCATAACAAACACATGTGACCAGCTCTCCTAAATGATGCTTATTTTCACTACTACATTTCCTGTATACAAGTGTTTGAGATCAAATAAGTACAATATTCCGGAGGTTTGATGAAAGCAATACAAACATTTTGGGCATTGAAATAGTATGTTTGTAGATCAGAACAAGGCATTTGAGGAGCCAAGAGGCACAGAGGGATTTGGTTCCCAAGAAGGGACAGTTTCTTCAAATAAAGGACAGTTGGAAGTAATGCGTAACAACAGATCACAGAGCCCCACAGCAACATTTTGATTTGGCCCCCAGTGACCTTCCTACTCTCATTAATCTTTACATAAAGTATGTGTACATCAAGGACAGGTAGCTGTCAGCATAGTCAGTACACTACTGGAGACCAGTAGATAGAGGTTGTCAAGGAAGAGGGGGCATTAGTGCATGGAATTAACTTTGAATATTTTAACCTTAACGTTCCACCTAACCAATCTGTCCCTAGATTTCACCAGTCTTTTTCAGCAGCTCAGATTTCAAGGTCTTAGTGCCCATTCACGCTGAGCCTTTAATCCCGCGACTTCTGCCGCGATATCGCGCTTATTTGCCGCGCGGTATCGCCATCGTCTGATGCTGTCTGTTCACACAGATCGGACCATCTTCTGGCTGTTCATGTGATGTCCTGGGTCCTCCTCTTGCTGCAGTGGTGGTGGACGGTCTTCAATACTTTAGAAAATGGCACTGATGTTATGACGTAAGCACATCTCTCTGCTGTGTAGTACTGTGAACCCAGGGTGACATGGCGATGCACACCCAGACATCATACCCAGACTAAAGTCATAGGAAGTGGGTTGAATCATGCTGGTAGTCATTTAGCCTGGAGGAGAACAGGCAGAAGAGTAGACTTTTTTATTTTTACCTTTTTGGACTATTGTTTTTGACATTTTTATTTTAACTGAAGTTCTGCTTTCATAGAAATTTACTTTGTTTATATTTTTATGTGAGTTAATGCAAATGATTAGATGAACTGAATTTATCCTCCCTTGAGAAGAAGCAATGAAGGGGGGTATGATAACCATGTGTAAACACATAAATGGTCCATATTGTTTAAAGTTACAGACAAGGGGGGGGGGGGGGGGGGGGTGGCCGTGGGGGCGGGGGTGACGCATGGAGGACCTCAGCTATGAAGAAATATTAACTGAGCTAAATGTACTGAAAGGGGAGTATGGCCATCTTGTATAAATGCAAAAGTGGTCCATATAGTGAACCTCTGCAATGTTGTTTACGTTAAGGTCATTGCAAAGGAAAGGGGGGGTTGGCACTCTTTGCGTCTGGAGGTAAAGAGGTTTAATCTTCACATACAGAAAGGCTTCTTTACAGTAAGAGCTGTAAAACCATGGAATAGGCTTCCTCAGGAACTAGTTCTAGATGGCACAGTTCATTGTTTTAATAAAATCTGGATGCATTTCTAAATGCACAGAATATAACTGAATATTAGCATTTCTAAGTAATAACAGCAGAGATTGTTGATCCTGGGAATATTCGATTGCCTTTAGGGATCAGGAAGGAGGGTTTTCCCTGTTGGAGCAAACTGAACCATGCTTTTATACAGAGTTTTTTTTTGCTTTCCTCTGGATTACCTGTGGGTATAGGGTTCTATTTATAGAGTTTTTCTATTTATTCTTTTTTTCTTTCTCTATTGGTTGAACTAGATGGACTTGTGTCTTTTCAACCTATGTACTCACGTAAAAGTATAATATTTCAAATGCAGCAATAAAAGTTTGGTCTCAGGTGTTTGTTGGGTATTCCCAATGTGACCTGTCAAAGTATAAACACAACGGACGTTTGCATATCTGCAACGCCATCTACTGGCAATTGGGGAAGAGGAGCTCTGCAGGGATGCTGGGGATGCAATTTCTCCAATAACAAGCGGCCATCAGGGGAGAGAGCATGTGTCTAACCCACCTCCTTAATGTAGGCGCTTCTGATACCAGCATATGTTTGGGTTGCAGAGGAGAGACGACAGCTGTGCAGTAGACAGCCAATGAGGCCAGTGACTGAGCTGCCAGGATGAGAGCCCTGAGGAGCAAAGCCAGCTAAACAGGCATTGTCATGAGAACCTGCAAGTGACCGCCGGCACTATGTCAGCTGAGCCATAGGTCACATTCACATCTAGTGACTTGTTTCTACAACGTGGAAACTTCCTCAGTCAAAGAACAATGTCAGACACTTTACGTAAAGGACAACTTATACTGTGGCCGCAACGTCTGAGTAAAAACGAAATATAAAGTTGTCGATGGCATATGAACAAGCCTCAAAGTATATTGATTTGCTGACATATATCCCCGAGGCTGTCACTCAAACAGTGTGGGAGCAGACAAAATCTGGAACATTTGTCCATGGAAACCAACCAGCTTCTATTTTTCATTTTCAAAGGTTAACTGAACAAACAGAAAAGAGAAGCTGATTGGTTGTCATGGGGAACTGCTCCAGATTCTGTCTGCTCCTGTCTTGATACATTTCCCTCATTATGCATAGACACGGAGTCTTTTGTAGAAGATAGAGACCGATGCACACTGGTCCCTCCTCGTGACGAGCTAGGCCAAGGGTAATGGCATGTAAAACCCAAGGGCTGTCATACCTGCCCAGAGCCCTTTACCCCCACCTGGTGACTAGAGTTGTTTAGCCAGTCAGCTTAAAACAGGGGTAAGAAAACTGTGGCTCTCCAGCTGTAGGGAAACCACAAATCCCATCATGCATCTGCCTCTGGGAGTCATGCCTGTGGCTGTCAGACTCTTGCAATGCCTAATGGCTTTTGTAGTTGCACAGCAACTGAAGGGCCAGATATTGCCTACCCCTGGCCTAAATCTTTGCAGGGGTGGTGGGCGAATGCTCCCAAACTGCCCCACTGGTCCCAAACACATGAACACAAGTCTCAGTCTGACCTTAGGCTTTGACAAGGTACACTGCCATACTTGTGGTTCCAGGTCGTCCGTCCATCTCTCTATGACCATTACCTTCCTGCCCTGAACCAGCTGCTCTTTGATGTTTCCCTCCAGGTTTGTGCA